TCAACGAGATTTGAATATATCCACGTGGATATCGTCGTGATGCCGCCATCCGAGGGCTACCGCTATTGCTTAACCTGTGTAGACCGTTTCACCAGGTGGCCAGAAGCAATCCCGCTAGAGAACCAGGAGATAGAAACTGTAGCTCGCGCTTTATATACGAATTGGATATGCAGATTTGGACCACCCCTGCGAATAACGACGGATCAGGGTTGACAGTTCGAATCGCACCTATTCAGACGCCTGAATAGTTTACTAGGTACGACTCATCTCCGAACCACCGCATCTCACCCAGCAGCAAATGGCATGGTAGAGCGTTTTCACCGTCAATTAAAAGCAGCAATAAAATGCCACAAAAACGATCGAGCTCAGCACCGAAGCGAATTTTGTTAAGGACCTCAGACGTCATATGGAAAGTTTACATCCAGCCGCAGTTAAACGCCATGGAAACAAGACGCCATTCGTTTTTAAAGACTTGGCAACAGCGACACATGTGTTTGTGCGTGCGGACGGCGTTAAAACTCAACTACAGAACCCATATGATGGTCCGGTTACAGTGATCAAACGCGACGACAAAACATTCACGGTGCTAGTGCGTGGTCGCGAAGTTAAAGTGTCCATAGACAGAGTCAAACCTGCGTATTGTTTAAATGAAGCGACAGATAACAGGGACGAGGACAATAGCCTTCCATCAACTTCTGCCCCATTATCCGTGCCAACCACACCCAAGGCAATTACCACTAGGTCCGGTAGAAGGGTCCGTTTCCCTGACCGGCCGCAAGTTCCGTGATGGCATCCATACTGGCAGGGGGGTGTGTGGGTACACATGTTGCAAGTGACTCATTTTTGAGCGTTACGTCAAGAGCGCCGGCGGGCGCACCAACCTTCCAAGAAGTGTCTACGGCGGGCTGCTGGCGCCGGCCACCAGACGCGTACCCATATACCTACGACCGACTCCACACACCAGGGCTCTCCAACGAACACTCACCCCGTCAACACGTCTTTTCATATACAAGTTTTCTATACAATAGTTTTCAATAAAATTATTATTACCGTTGAAAGAGCGTTTTATTCTTGCTGTACAGCGAAAGCAACCCTCAAAATCGACTAATCCGTCCCGTATCGCTACACGGAGTCACTAGAGGAAGGCTAGGGTTATTTGTAAGTTTAGTCTCAAAATTATTTAGATAACTATTAACACGGCAAAGTTGTGCCAAAGCGTCCCGACATTCAGGGTTCCCGCCAATAAGATAAGAACAGAAACTTCTGGACCCAAGAAATGGGCGTGTCGAAGCGAGGTGTCGAATTCGGGAAAGATCTCAAAAAGGCAGTTCTTCCTTATGTTCCACATTGAGCAGTCGACTTAAGTTTTAGAGTCCCGGGCTAGTTAATTAAATTTAATAACGGATAAAGTTTTTTTTCAAATTTTGCTATGGAGCGCGCATTCCCTGAATCTCGGGACGCTGTCGCGTGATAATAAATTAGTTAATAATGTTGTTTGAGCTGTTGTGTTGTTATTTTGTTTGTTTGTTTTGTTTATTTTTATTAAAACCCTTCCTGTAAGTTTTGGTGTTTCCTTTTGTTTCTCTCAACTTCAATGTCACCCTGTATAGCCAGCCACTGGATTACATTCTACGTAAGCAATAAAGGGTAAGTGCCTGAAATTCATTCTCTGCACATACAACATTTCCCACGTATTAATTAAAGTATAATGATAATTATAAACTCCCTTTCGAGAATTGAATAGTAAACTCTTTTGAAATCCAGTCTCGTCATGATACTGGTCATAACGATAGTGAGATAGATAAAGAAATAACCCCTCAGGTTACACATATTTCATTAATTATTTTAAGTTCCTGCCATCGAAAATAATCTTAAACTCAAAATTGAAATTTGAGAAATTTTAAATTTTGAAAACGTAGTTTCGTTGTATTGTGTCCTCAAGAAAGGTAACTTTTCATAACCATTAAATCTAATGCGTGCATAATTACACTACACCACGTATTACGTACTATACTTTACCTACGACAACTATTTTAAATACTTAAAAACACATCGTCTGCGATCAATGCAAGATTTCTATTACGTCGTACGGTAAAAAAATCGCACAGCTTGGTAAAAAAATCGTACAGTTTTCCTAGCAACCGCCTAGCAACGGTCAATACAAACAGTATTGTATTGACCGTTGCTAGGCGGTTGCTAGGAAAACTGTGCGATTTTTTTACCGTACGTAATAGGAATCTTACATTGATCGCAGACGGTGTGTTTTTAAGTATTTACAGTAGTGGTCGTAGGTAAATATGTTTAAGCAAAACCTTTTTTTATCAAGAATAAATTTTACAAGAATTCGGTACCCCCTGTATAGTAGGAAAATTGTTTTTTTTTTCGTTTTACATTTAATTTTTGTTTGCTTCTTAAATTGAATTTATATGTGAATAATATTAATATTGAGAAACACGATAGCAACGTGTGATATATTGATATCGAAATGAGAAAACGTTAATTTTATTTGAGAACTGCTAGAAGCAATGTATTGCACCATTTTCCTTACATTTAGGTATGTATTGTGTCGAAATTTGCAGTGCAACAATGATATTTTCCATACCACGTTACCTAAAATTAAGAAATTAGTTTTACGATTGCTTTGTTTAAATATGTTTTATTGTTTGTCATACAAACAGGGTGATCAGAACTTATCCAAAAAAAATTTTTGGATGTACAGGGGACTCTTACAAATAAAATTTTATAAAGAAAAAATCAAAGAGGTCAGTTCAAAAATGATTTAAAAATACACTTCTGCACGGCACTGGAAACGAACAAAAACTTGAAAGAATTTCGCAAGGAAAGAAAGAAATAGAATTTTATAGCACCTGCTTTTGCCGCTATTGTTATTATTAATTAATAACATTAATTTGTGGCAATATACTGCAAGTTAAAAATGTTTAAATTTCTTACCGATTTTGTAAAATAGCAATAATTGTTGAAAAAAAGGCAAAATAATCAAGTTTTTTAGATAATTTTTTTAAAACATTTTAATTGCTCCGAGGGTATTCTAATTAAAATTGCTTCTATAATTTTTGGCAAAATAATATTTTGAAAAAAAAAAAAATTTCGTACTTTCAAAATTTTGCAGTCTCAAATAAAGCATCTAGAGTCAAGACCGCTCAACCTTTCAAATGGTTTTTGAAAAATTGAATTCGGCTGATTAGAACGGCCACAATAAATTTTTAAAGTTAACACTTTTTCTATTTTTAATAATTAGACTACATTTATTAATTTGCAATTTAGTTTTTTTTTTTCAAAAATTATGTTTTTAAAGTACTATTTTTTCTTAATTTTATCTGTGTTTACAAAAAAATTAATTTCCAAATAAAAAAATTATTTGTTTAAACAAAAATTATTTAAATAATACTAATAATTATAAATATATTCATATTCAGTGTTGAAATATATACGTAAACAAATTTTTACAATGAAAATATGCAATAGCATAGGGTAAAATATCCAATATATTTAATACATAAATAATAAACTTCTTTGTCTCGCGAGAGATCGAATTAAAAAAAAAAGATCGAAATTGGTCCATTAGAAGCCGAGATAATGCAATTTTCTTCATAACTTCGCATTTTGAACTTCCGAACTCAGTCTCGGAGCGAAAATCCCCTCCCCCACTTTTCGTGTTTTGAGTCACTTTTCGCGCGTGCGAGCGACAGCTTTTCCCATGATTTATCTATGTTGCTGATAACTTATGGATATGAAAATTGTTTCCAGCTTAGAACTCGAAAAAACGAAGCCACTGGATCAAATATTTATTGCTAAATTGTTTATAAATTAACGGTAAATGCCGATAAACTTTGACGGCTTATATCTCGAGAACCAATAAAAGGAATTTGATTTTATTTTAAAGAAGCGTCTTTCGGAGTACTTTAAAATTATAATTTTAGAAAAAAACTAAATTGCAAATTGATAAATGTAATCTAATTGTTTAAAAATAAAAAAGAGTGTAAACTTTAAAAATTTACTGTGGCCGTCCTAATCAACCGATTTCAATTTTTCGAAAACTATTGGAAAGGTTGAGCGGTACTTCCTATGTGAAAAAATTTTCAAGTATCTAGATGCTTTATTTGAGACTGTGCAACATTTTGAAAATTCGATTTTTTTTTTGTTTTGCGAAAACTATCGAACCGACTTTAATGAAATTTGGTATGTTGTTTTATTATACTCTAAAGTTTTTATTACCAAAATTAGAATGCCCTCGAAGCAATTAAAATATTTTAAAAAAATTATCCAAAAAACTTGATTATTTTGCATTTTTTTTCATCAATTATTGCTATTTTGCAAAATCAGTAATAAATTTTAAACATTTTTAACTTACAGTGTATTGTGCAAAATTCAATTCTAATTTTTTTTTCCTGTTCAGTATTCTTCCAAAATGCATAGGTTCCAAGATACCTATAAGTAAAAAACTCTAAAATTTTTTTAAACATTTTTGCAATCTTGAAAATGTTCCGGACCTCGCCCAGATCTAGGGATCTACACTTTTATTATGTGAGTTGTACTAAAGGTAATCCGGAAAAAAATTCTTTGCCCCCTCTCACATCCACCTTAAAACAGCCCGCCCCGGTCAATATTGCATATCGGCTTTTACAATTACTGCCGTTGAATAATAGTTGTGTGGTCAATGTGAAATACCATATAAGATCCAAACTGTCCAAAACTTTAAAACGAAAGGATATAAATTAATAAAACTGGAATTTTTGAAGAGACTTTTAAGGAAATAAGACTTATTAGGCTTCACGATCACAAATATGCCTTATATTTTCTTGCATTTAACATTATTATTGCTAGAATTAAAAAATCAACTTTATATAATATGTGTATTATTCAGCATTTTTGTAAAAATAACAACAAACTTATAAAAACATGGTTATACGCAAAATATTTGACCTTGCATAACCCCTAGATAATAGCTTATCTGATGTATACACATACATAAAAAGACATCCTACATCCTATATAGTATTCAGAAAATATCAAATCATGAGAACTTGTGCTGTAGTTGTCTTTATTGCCACCTTGGTGGTTTCGGTAAGTGATACATTTCATTAATTACAATTTCTTGTTCAAATTTGAATAATTACAAGGGAATTGCTGTCATTTTGGTCGATGTTTCGATATTTAGAAGAATAAATGAAAAAACATGCAGGTTTTTAAAAAATTGTAAAATTTGTTATTACCTAAACAATTTTATTCGAAAATTTAGTCAATTTCAAGTTATTACATATATTGTCTAGTTTACTTGGTCTAAAATAATAAGTTTATCGCGTTGAATAAATCCGCAGTAATTATTTGTTGTTTGATACGATAATATTAACATCTTGAAAAAATAATACATTAGTACAGAAAATTTTAATTTCATATGTTGTTTCTTCTAAAATATTTGAATTTAAATATAATAAAAATAAAATTTCAGTTAATTTTTTCTTACACTCCAAACTTTTATTAGTTTACGTTAAATATCTTAAGGGGTATTTACATAAATTTTGTTTTTCAAGAATTTTAGTACCCCTTGTCTCATAAACTAAACCATTTAGGATATTGGTCAAACAAATTTTTCTTATAAAAACTATTTAAGGAAATATTTTTATGTACTCATATTAAACTTTGTTTGCCATATGGAAAATATAAACTACTCGAAATATGTTTAGATGCCTCAGATACGGAATTAAATTTTGGAAAATTTTGCCATTTACTTTTATTGTTTAAAATCAACCGTTGCCAGATATTTTCAATTTATGTATTGTTTCTTGACAAGAACAAAAAGTGTAATAATCAATTTGTCGTGCACGTTCTGCTTCAAGCGTACATATAATATACGAATTAAATAATCTAAGTAGTTAAGATTTCTTGAGCTAGAATTTTTATAAAACGAGTTACAAAATTAGTCCCATAATATTTCTCTTCAATAATAATCAATTTAATTTTTGCACCCTCATAAATATTATTTAAAATTACTTTTAATTCTAATTTAATACACTTTGGACTAGAGTGGAAAATATACAAGTTGGTTAACGCCCTTTAATAAGATTCATTTAACACTTATCTATTTAAAACATTATGGAGAGCTATTCTTTTAAAGAAATAACAAATAAAATTAAAAATATCTGATCACCGATTGTTTTATAAAGTACCTAACTGAATATGGAAAAACATTTCCAAAATTTAACAAAGTAAAATTAATAAAATAAAATATATCAAATTGAACTCTTTGCTACTATGGGAATATCATTGTGAATGTTGTATTATCCCGCATTTGCAAATTGATAATATTAAAAAAAAAATTTCCTTTCTCTAAGTTATTCTTTTATTATCAGAAATCATTAATAATATAAAAATCTGTAGATCCACTGCATTACTGATGAAGAAAAGGAGAGACTCAGGACACTGCATAACGAATGCAAAAGTCATATCGATGAAGAGACCGCAAGAAAATTTTACAAAGGAGAACTACTGGATAAATCCGTGATTGGTAGTTACGCTCTTTGTATATCCAAAAAATCTGGTTTTCTAAATGAGGACGGTAAACTAAACAAAGATAACTTGAAGAAAGCTCTCGGTCGCGCTATTTCAGATGAGGCTAAGTTGAACGAAGTTATAAACAAATGTGCCGTCGAGAAGGATGATCCTCAAGACACTGCTATATCTTTAGGAAATTGCTTCCGTAGAGAAGCTGGAGCCCCTCACCATTAACATGCATAAGCCCAGGGATCTGATATAAGTTTTAATGCGATATGGCAAAAAAATTGTTAAACAAATATTATTGACTAAAAAAATAAATTATCAATTTACCCATTAAGAAAAATTTTTTAGTCTCAAATATGTATTAAACCAAAGATTTATTGCAAATGTTGCTCTATATTTATATTTCAGGTTTCATTTTCCAAATATTTACACGTATAGCTACAACTACATAAAACATTGTTGACTAAAATAAATAAAACTTTGAAGTAAAAAAATTGTGATGAAAATTTAGATATGATAAAAAAATTGAAAGTAGTTACTTACTGATTATAATTGGATAGATAATGAAGTTATTTTAGTGAAAATATTTTGCATTAAATTTTATTAAGCCATTTTAAATTTTCATAGCTATATTGCTTTTTATATCTTAACTTACGGTCGTATGACACTATGCTAAAATGAGAACTAATTTCAGTAATTAACTAAGAACTTTTTAATCTATATCATACACAAATTGCAGCAAAAATTGTTGCAGTTTCTGTATGATACTATGCAAGATTAAAAAGTTCTTATAGGCCAGGAAATATAGAGTTGGACGCGAGTTTTTGTTTCGGCAAGCTGAATTTATCACTATAGATGCTAAATATTATGTACAATAACATATTAGTTTCCACAGTCATAAAAATGGGGGGAAGATTATTTACATGGTGGTTAATTGTATAATTTTTACGTAAATTCACCTTTTTCGCTTATAACTTTTTTGCATTCATTTCCAAGAGAAAACAGTACAGTACTTTTTTTTCGTCTTCAAAGGACCTACAGAACTAGCCCTCGAGCGTAAAATATTGATTAGATCAAAAGTTATAAACAGAAGAAGTTTATTTATGACTTTTGAATTAAACATTTATAAACTGCGTTATTATTACCAGAACGTTTTGGCATCTCATCCTCTCATTCCTTATCACTGTCTAATAACTCGCACGAAATCTGGAATCGGTAAGTGGAATAGGTTGCAAGTTATGGCTTTATAAACAAATTAACTAGTTACTAGTCTGGACGATCCCGAGCATCTTCCACGATGGAACTGATTTTTTTCATGGTAGACTTCATAATAATACATTGATTTCTTTAAATTTCAAATTTGTAACCTGGACTATTTTTTATTTTTTAGCCTTAGTTGCAAAATGAAATATACGACGCACGCGCGTGATATAGTTATATATTATTACATATTCGGAAAGCTTATGACGGGAGTTTTAAATTAAAATCGTCAAGAAACAACGGAGTTACAGACTGCCAAATATATTATTTACAAGCGAATTTCGCTATTTTAACGGCAGGACTATGAATATTATCCTCATTTTCTTCGGACTTGCTGTCGTTCGTTTCCTCCACCCTTCCATCGCGCCACGGCTCGCCAAAAATTAAGCGACCCACTGACATAACAATATTTCTTATGCACTTAACATACTTCCACAAATAAAATATTTTTATCTAGGAATGTACTCGGGTTGCCGGTTATGACAGTATTTTTTTTGCCGCTACCAACCTAATTTGTTCAACAATAGGCCGTCAACTTTGACAGTCTGCAACTCCGTTGTTTTTCAACGAATCTTGACGATTTTTTTTTAACTTAAAGCTCTCTTCATAAGCTTTCCGAATATGTAATAATATATAACTATATCACGCGCATGTGTCGTATATTTCATTTTGCAACTAAGGCTAAAAAATAAAAAAAATCCAGGTTGCAAATTTGGAATTAAAAAAAAAAATTATAGAGTTCAATGTATTATTATGAAATCTACCATGAAAAAAATCAGTGCGATTGTGGAAGATCCTCGGGATCGTCCAGACTAATAATTAGTTAATTTGTTTATAAGGCCATAACTTGTAAACTATTCAACTTACCGATTCCAGATTTCGTGTGAGTTATTAGACAGTGATAAGGAATGAGAGGATGCGATGCCAAAACGTTCTGGTAATAATAACGCATTTTATAAATTTTTAATTCTAAAGTCATAAATAAACTTCTTCTGTTTATAACTATTGATCTAATCAATATTTTTTGATGCTCTAGGGCTAGTTTTGTAGGTCTTTTAAAGACGAAAAAAGTACTTCTCTGTTTTCTCGTGGAAATGAACGGAAAAAAGTTATAGGCGAAAAACGTGAATTTACGTAAAAATTATAAAATTAACCACCCTGTAAACAATCTTACCCCCATTTTTATGACTGTGGAAACTAATATGTTATTATACATAATATTTAGCATCTATAATTACTGAAATTAGTTCTAACTTTTGCATAGTGTCATACGACCCTTCGACATAGATACTAATTCTTCCAGAATTTATTATCCACAAAGTTCAGAATTAATATAATTGTATCAATGAATATAGCTAAAAAAATATGTATAATGAATTTTAACCGTTACCCTCAATGAAAATAAAATTTTGGGACAATTTCGTAATGAATTAACAGAAAAGTTTTATATGACTGTTATTAATTTGTTACTCCCTGTTCTTTCTGAATCTATTACGATTTCATTTTGTTAAATAAAAAGTAGTTTTAGATAGATCAATCCCACGCGAGTAGCTATTCATGTTGTATTAAAAAGAAAAATAGTATGTTATAAAAAACAATTTTTTCTATGTATAAATAAAACCATGTACACAAAGAATGTAAGTCCATGTCTGCACAATTACAGTTTTGAGAACATTCGAAATAAATTAGTTAGTCCTTGTACCTTTTGCGTGTCCAACAAATATGGTTGCCTAAATGAGGAAGGAAACATAAAAACCATGTTTTAGCTGCTTTTAGGTTTCCGGGGTGATTGTCGATTTATGTCCCAACATAATTTCTATTTGTCAATTTGTCATAAAAAGAATTCTAGAACAAATATAGAAAAATCCCAGTAATTTATTTAGCATAAATCTATTTAGGAATTCTCAGTATTTCCATAGTCAACTATGCAAGGACAAACTTCGATCTAAAACAAAAAGAAAACAGTTAACTTAATAAAATTGTAAATACTTTAAAATGGACATCAAACTTATAATTTATATAGTTATTAGTTATAACTTGAAGTAAAATTAAAATAAAAAAAAATATAAAGAGAATAAAAAGGTAATAAGTGCAGTCCAAACGAGAAAACAGAAAAAATCAAGTAAGAACAAAATTTTAAAACTTGTACTTCCCCTAGCCTCTAGCTAATATTACAAATAATTATGCTTATTCAACTCACTGTTACCGGTATTTCGGTTTCCCTTGTAATTATTTAAACCACTAGGTATCTTGATTCGTTCCTATTTTCTAAAGCTGGTAACGCGACGACCAAATTTACATGAAGAATGTATTGGGAACTGCCTATCTTGTTTTTAAAACTTCAGATCAAATTCTAACCCGACTTTTGATCGACAGCTGGGAGATAACCTTATTCCATTATTTTTCGGTTTTTGATAACCTTCTTGTCCGATTTTTATTGAACTTATTATTATTTACACTTCCTGTGGGTTGCAATTGATATATTTAGATACAGCTTTCTTTGTTTATTATTACTTGGTTCACGTCACTTTGTTTGTAAACTCACTACTTTGATGTTTGTTTTTAACGTTTAACAAATAATTTCGTTTATTTGTTGTACCATGTCATAATTCTTAATTTTGTTATATTCTACATTCGAAATTCTCCTGATTGAATTGGGGAAAGGTAGATCAATTCAGCTTGTTACAAATGTTAAAAATTTGTACATCATTTTCTTTCTTATTTAAACATGTATTATAGAATTTGTTAATATTGCGTCCCTCCATAAAAAGAAAACAAAGAAGGTAAAATAATACGTTTATTGTTTCGGAAATTAATAAAAATTTCCAAAAAATTACAAGAGATATTTAATAAGCACATTGTAAATTTAAAAAAATAAAATTAATACGAAATTGTCATCAACGTCGGTTTCTGTTTAAGATGAGGAGAGCCTCGTCCTCCATACTTATACCTACGCGATTATTTTTAACAGACACAGATTTTCATATAATTTTATTACCTTTCTTAAAACAAATTCATTCAACAATCTATTAAACTGTTTTGAAGTTATGCTGCGCAAACTTTAAAAGGAAATTTATTTGCAACTCCCTGTTGCAAATCTCAGTGTCACAAAAAAAATGTATAGGGCAAAAAGTTACTATTTTTCAATGAGTTTTAAAATTATTGGTGTTTAATGGAAATACACCCTGTATAGAAAAAAAATACCTATTGTTTTGTAGATTTGAAAATGACCAAAGATGAAGTGCACATTGTAGACGCCGAAAGTAGTAGTCAAATTTCGTTAATAAAAAGGATTGAGGAATTTGAGACTTTTTTCCCGGAAACTTAATTAACTTACATTTTCCGATTTTGAACTTACACCTATGGTAAAAAACCTATTATTTACAAAAAATAATAATAAGTGTCTATTGAAACATTTTAAAACGTAATAACAAATAATCCTATATTAATGTATAGAGTGAATATTCTTCTTCTTCTTCGTCTTCTTCCTCTTCTTATACCTTTAGTTTGGTTCTACTCAAGCTCCACAGCACCGCGACTTTATTAGGCATATTTTGCGTTCCATTTTTCAATCCTATTCAGCAAGTGGTTTTGTCCTTTTCACAAGTCCTAAAGCTTCCTTTCCGACACTTCTCTCAGCTCCTTGAGTTCCAGAAAGGTTTCGACTTGAACGTTTCAAATTCGGTTAAAAAATCTCGTGCCCGACCCTTGCTTTAATTGTCTCTAAAATTCCGGTCCGATTCGTCCAATAGTTAATTTAACAATTAACATTATATAAAAAAGTTATATTGGGAACAAAGAGGCGTAAATGACTTCTCTTTTTTTTTAAATTACCGTGAAATAAGCTCTGGTTCATGCGAAAAGAGCGAATTCCCGAGCGGCTTTTGCCTGACCCTGGAACAATTTATTTATAATGCTATTTTGCACGTCCTACTGTGTTAGTTGCAAATTTTTCTTTCTCAACACGTTTCTTTGGATCAATAATTAGATAATATCTACGATATTAACTTCTAAAATTAACGTTCTAAAATTAATAATTAAACAGTTAGTTCTAAAAAAAGCGAACGAAGTTAACTAACA